CGTTTGAAAAGCTTTTTCAAGATCTATGAAGCATATAAATATATTTTTCTGTTGGTTGTAGCATTTTTGAGCCAGAAATAGTGAACTGAATAGGGCTTCCCTCGTTAGCATGCAGGCTCAGCTCCAATAATTGTATCGCACTATAGATTCGGTTGTGTAAGAGTTTTAATAGGACCTTTACTGCATAATTCATAAGGCTTATCAATCGTTGTAGTGTAGAGTTTGGCTTTTTCGGTATTGAGATGAATATTGATTCTAGCCATTGTTCCTTTGTTTTGTTTCTTTTTTCTGATTTTTGCTTTTAAGTGGGACCAATCTAGAACAACGGCACCTAACTAAGTGATCTTGACTGTATCTACTGGTTCTGAGAAATTTTTTCCGATTTTAAGTCCATATCATCTACATATATACCTTAGTTACGATGTTTTTTTTACCTCGCCCACGTTTGCTTTTAATTTTGCCTTCGCTTCTTAGTTGCTCGAGTTGATATTTACTATTTTTCATATATTTTTTTAGAAATTAAGGTTTATATACTTATATATTCTTTTCTACTTTACAAACCCTTATTTATTAATATTAAGTGATATTCAATTATTAAGAACATAATGAAGGAACCGTTTTATTTATTCTCATGGCATCATTTAAGAGGTAGTCTTAATATAATGACATACGCAAGTCATATATTTTTATAAGAACGATTAAAATTAGTATTTAAAACTTTTAAAACTGAAAACGACAACACCAACTGATTTCTCTTCATTTTTTAAAAGTTATAGCTATTATTAAAACACGTGCTTTTTATATATCATTATTATCATACACTGCAGATCCTCTTTAGGGGACTTATACTGCTACATTGCTTTAAAAATTATACTGTTATCGTAAATAAAACTTCAAACCTTAGTACATCAAACTCTAATTACGAAATTTTTTTAAACAGAACAATAAAAAAATAAAACGGTTTTTCAGACTTTGCTGGGGACCATATTTACCCGCTGCGAAGGGGTAAAAGTGGCCACTGCCACTATTACCCCCATTTAAAAAATAATTAAATGCCTTCGAAACTAGTACAGTCTTTGTGTGCTAATTGGCCGCAAATGCTACATTGGATCCAGAGTTCTCTGATTTTACCGAATTCTCCACAAATTGTGCAAATATCTTCGTTAACGTCCCTATCAGGTGTAATCGTCATCATTCTCATCTTCAGATGATATATCTTCTATGATCTTTTCTTCTTCTTCATGTACCATGTCCTTTCAGAACGTTGGTTACCATCATAGCTATTTTAATTTTATTCACTGCCACCCTAAATAGCATGCTTGTATCTACACCATACCAATCTCGCAAGTTCTTCAACCATGAGGTTCTTCTTCGTCCTGGACTGCGTTTGCCTGCTATTTTTCCTTGCATGATATTTTGTAGCAATCTATATTTGGGACCTCTCATTACATGTCCGAAATATTCCAGCTTTCTCTGCTTGATGCTTTTTATGATCTCAGTGGTCTTGCTGAGACGTTCAAGTATTGTGGAGTTACGAATCTTCTCCACCCAGGAAACTTTTAAAATTCTTCTATAGCACCACATTTCGAAAGCCTCAAGGCGATTTAGATCGATTTTATTCACAGTCCAGGACTCGACAGCATAAAGTAAGACCGAGAACACGTAGCAGCGAAGTAGGCGGATCCTTAATGCCAATTTTAGGTCTCTGTTACATAACACCTTGGACATCCTTCTAAAAGCAGCTCTAGCCTGCTCTATTCTGGATCTAATTTCGCCGTGATTTTCTGCATTACAATTTAATTGCTGTCCAAGGTAGACGATTTTATCAACTTGCTCAAGTTTGGTATTATTTACATATATAGACGGTTTTATATTCTGTTGTTTACTTGTTACAAGTATTTTGGTTTTCCTTATGTTAAGATCCAGACCTGCCTCCCTACAACTCTCAACGACACTATCAAGTAGTGTTTGCAGATCTTCTTGACTAGAAGCTAGGGGTACTGTATCGTCCGCATATCGCAAATTATTGATGACTTCGCCGTTCACAAGTATTCCTTGTTGTTTTTCAGAAAGTGCTTTTCTGAAAATTCTTTCGGAGTAAACGTTAAAAAGCAGGGGTGACAAGAGGCATCCTGCCGTACTCCTCTTTTAATATTGAGAGCTTGTGATTCCACACCATCTACTAAAACTGATATTGTTTGATTCCAATATAAATTTGCAATTATTCGAACATCTCTGCCGTCCAAGCCAATGTCTTTTAGAGCTTCGATCAATATAGAGTGCTTAACACGATCAAATGCCTTTTGAAAGTCAATAAAACAACAGTTGTTGTCTACAGATATATCACGACATCTTTGAGCAAGTACGTTCATTCCAAACAGTGCCTCTCTCGTTCCAAATCCGTTACGGAAACCAAACTGAGTGTCCTCAGTGGAAAAATTTTCAATAAGTGGTTTAACAAACTGATGGTTCTATCATCAGCACAGGTTTTTGCTGTTGTCTTCTTAGGTAGAGCTATAAATAGTGAGTTAGACCAACCATTAGGTAGTTGTCCGCTGGTATAAATGGTATTGAAAAACGAAGTTATAGCCTCTAAAACATTGCTATCCTTTATAAGCTTATATATTTCAATTGGAATTTCATCAGGACCAGTCGCTCTGCCATCTTTTGATGATTGTATGGCCTTTATAACCTCACAGCGTTCTTCTTGGTTCTTATACAATTTCTTTTTAGAAATAGTTCTTTTGCTGGCTTTATTTCTCATTTGCTATTCCTTCTTCCGCTGTTTTTCTTTCAGGAGTAACATCATTGGTGTTGATGTCATTATTTCGGAATGTTGCTTTCTATTGCTTTTGTGGTTAGAACTTTTATTTCCAACTGAGTAATCTTTTGAGCATCCTGGAATTATGTCAACAAAAGATACTTCAAACTTTTGTCATTTGTCGAACTTTCTTAATTCCCCTCAATTTCCTTATTATTATTCTCCTTATGTAATCCACTTTTTTTCTCTTGGTCTTGTGTCTTTTTATCTTTTTCTTGTATAAATGATTCACCTGGAGCAAAGTCTTTATCGGTAAAATTTTCAGGATTATGGAAATATTCCTGTATTCTCAAAACCTTTAATGGCTTTGACTGGTGTGGCTACGCAACCGTCTGAATTTTTAAATATTTCATCTATTTCAAATGTCGTGATACGCTCATGAGAATGACTTCAAAGATAATTGCCACATTCCATGTTATACGCTGATTTTAACTATGAGTAAAAAAGCTACATCCAGCGATTTGAGTTGATGCGATGTGTGCGGGGGTATGGTTAACATAATAATTCGTCGTTCTTTACAGAAATTATATGTCTCTAATGTACAGTGGCTACTGTGATTGTCGACGATTAACAAAACTGGATCCTCCTTTGCAGCTTTACAACACTGTAAAAATGCTGGAGCCATTCGAGAAATATTTGCTCATTTATCCACCCATTATTCGAGCAGCAGTAGACTGCACCAGCTGGCCCATTTTTCTTTAACTCTGATTTCATCGTTTTGCAGGCATAAATAAACAAAGGTGGAATATATGTTCCTGAGGCACTTACGCAGCACATAATGGTTGTTGTTTGGCCTCTTTCTGCGCTTGTAATGAAGCCGACACTCTTTTGTCCCTTTTAGCAAGTATTTTTCCGGGGTTTTGGATGGTTGTTATGCCTGTTTCGTAGATTATATATTTTGGATGGAAAATAGGTTTATTTTTCAAAAATTCCTTCTTTGCCGGCAAAACATCGCCATTGTTTTGGGTACAGTTTGAACGAAACACTGTTAGACGGCGCAACAGGTGTTAAACGCGAAATAAATTAGGCCGAAAATGTAAATATTTTATGGCTACCATTACCCCAGCGGTCACCATTCCCTTTCCCTATACAAACTTGATTACACAAGAATACTGAAATGCGTGCTTGGTTTGCATTATTTGGTTGTAACAAGTAATTTGAAAAGAAGGCAACGAGGATGTCTGGAATATTTTATTTTAATTTATGAACAAAACAAATGTCTGTTGCACGTTGGATGCAAAGATTCAAAGATAAGAAATTAATAAAATGTCTTGTTATTTTCCTAAATCAGTTGGTGTTAAAGTTTTCGTTGCTAGACTAACTAAAGAGATAGATGGTCAAAGAGTAAAAGGATCAAATATATAAGAGATGTAAAATGGAATAATCAGATCATCAAAATATGTAACTCTGTAATGGATGCAACGATAACAAGTTTCGTTTGCATTTTTAATTATTGATTGAAACAAGAATGAATATAATATTATCATCACTTCCTGTATATTAAATCTGCACATCTATTTAGAATAAAAAATGAATTTTGGAAGTAAAAGTTAGAAACACGTGTTACAGTATTTTAATATATTAGTTATAAACTCAAAGAAACTTAGCTCTATTTTCAGTGCTAAGAGCAGGAACTAGTGACATGAACCTACCAAAGGTCTAATATTTAAAATGATGCGAATGGCTGCCGTGTGATTTACGCGATTGTTATTTTTGTAGGTTTAAGGTAAACCGTATAGTTATCAATGCAGTTAAAAAATAATACAAAATGGGTAATTAAAACTGTAATTGTCAGATTACCTTAGTAGACGATATCGCCATTTAATAGCCTTGTTAGATCCTTTGTGAGAAATAAACTTGTCTTTTCAGTTGTATTCATAGCTTTGAGTGTTCCTATTTTACTAAGAAGTTTTGCCGTTTTCCTTTCTGTTATTATCCTGGAATTCTACCAGGTATTTAATATATATGTTTTAATTATTTTGTAAATTTGAAATATGTTTAAATTTTATTTTAGTTTAATCTGTTGAAATTAAATCTGTCTTTAGGCCTAGACGAGAAGTTACTAAAACAGTCATCAATCTTTATTATTTATATTTTAATATAATTTTCTGTTTAAACCAAATTTACACTAAATACCAAATATTTGATCCTAATTATCCTGTGACCTCTAAAGAACGATCTAAACCGAAGATTCATCTATAACTGTGATAACCCTATTGGGAAAAACTTTCCATTTCCCATTTCCCTTGGCGACGCCGTTAGTTTCCTCTTCATTGGTGGATTCTTCGTTATTCTGAGTCGGTTTGGATCTCGCCAAGGACCAACGTCTACCTTTCCTGTCCAATATCACAGGCATTTCCGCTATTAGATTATTTTCGAACTCGCTAAGCATTAAATAATTTTCTACTTTGTTACACGAAGTAATACAGTCTCCTATATAGTCCAGATCGTCCAGAAGGTTGTCTGGAAGATCCATGTCTGCTATTCCTAAAACAAAAGATATTTGCAACTTTATAAAAATATGGATATTAACATTAACTATAAATCAAGAGCAGAGAGGGTAAATTAACAAAACGCTGATCATAATATGTTAACTATATTATAATTATTAACCTAGAACTATTACCTAAACATAAAAAAAATTAATGATACATAAGAAAGTCTCGAACAACATTTATACAATATGCAAAACATACATTAAGGGAAACGAGAAATCTACACGAAGTAAAAAACATCAAATACTTCAGAATACAGAGACACCTATAGAAGAATACGAAATAAAACAAAGCAGTTGGTAAGAAGAACAAAAAATGAACACTGGGAACAGTTTACAAAAAGGATGGAAAGCGACTTCTACGGCACACAAAAGAAAAAGAAGACAAGAAACCAACTGAAAAAATGGCAGGATTGAAGGAATACAATAACATAACAAAGAAATCAAATATTATGTTATGCAGACGACGCCGAATTAATCGCCGAGACAGAAGACGAGATCCAATTACAAGTTAATCCTAACAATATATTTGCAAAGAATGCGCTTTTGGCAATGGACTCAATTTCGTGATATGACGAGTGAAAATTATATCCTTAGTTTTAATATCAACAATTCGGACCTTGTCATTCCTGCTATGGAAGACCTCTATTACTCTAGCAAGTGACCAATATAAAGGTGGAATGTTATCCTCCATACTTAAACATCCTTATTTGATGTGAGCCATTTGGGGCAGTTTTGTTATCTATTCAAATAATCTCTATTCCATCTTTGCAGAAGACTTTCGGGTTCTTGTACAATTTCTCGAGGTTTAATAGAGATGGTTTTCACTTCTAGAAAAGAGGTGAGGTGTGTGCCTATTAAAAAATGACCAGGTGTTAGGGCTGACAGATCCCCAAGCTGATTGGACATGACACATTTTTTGTGTATCGTGCAAAGTATTTAAATACATAAATCATTGGGAGGGATTTCTGTGTCCATATTACTTTTATAAGCTGCTGTAATGCCATTATGGTATCATGGTCTCCTTCTCTATATGATTCAGCTGGGAGATTATCTATTTCGAGTGATTTGTTTCTGGCTAGTTTTTTAACTGCATCTTTAACTTCAATATATCGTTGGTGGTTCCTCTTTGTTCTCGTCTGCTCCCCTTATCTCATCTCTTTCGTCTTCCAGATTTTCGTCTTCTTCCTTGTGCCTGGTTAAAGTATTCCACCCATCTACGCGGAGATAGTACTTAGCACTAATTGCACTTTCCCAGATTTCACCATGTCCAGGAGAAATAAATTTCCTAGCGATTTTTGGAGAGGTCAGAAAATCCTTTGTTGAAGCTTGTGTATCCGTATTTTTTAAAAATTGTACAACTTCCTCCAAACGATTTTTTGAGCCAAGAAAGTCTTATCAGGAAATATGACTTACGTGATGAGACTGTTAGAGCGAGGAGGTGAAAAGCAGAAGTGATTTTTTTAGAAAGTGGAAACTATTTGAATGTCAAGGAAGAGTGGACTTTGACAACATAAGGTACTCAGACAGCTGACAAGTTTCAGGGGTGGTGGTAATTTACATTAAAAGAAAATACAAATTTATAAGTTTGTAGCTGGTTTTCCAACACACTATATTAGGTCAAATCAATTGATATGGTACAATCATGTACAGGAGATTTCAGAATATGGATTACAAAATCAGTCAAATATTAAATTGGGTACAGACGAGACAAATTTTGAACTATACACATCATACAATGAACCCGAGGTCATAACATCCATAAAGATCGGACTTCTGCGCTGGATGGGCCATGTTGAACGGATGTTGGAGACTGAAACACCAAAACATATAATGATGCAAACACCAGTAGGGAGAAGGCCAAAGGGAATACCCAAACTAAGATACATGGAACAAGTGGAACAAGATCTGAAAACACTTAAGATTACCAACTGGAAAAACAAAGCAAGGAACAGAACAGAATGGCGGACAACGCAAGCCAGCACCCAGAATGGGTTGTCGAGCTACTAATGATGATGACAGACGGGACAAAAAAAAACGTGGAAGACCAAAAAGAAGCTAAAGAGAAGATGTAGATCAAGAAAGTAGAGACAACAATACAGATGAAGATAAAATAGTAAAACATTGGGACAGAATATACTAATATAAATATAATAAATATTAAGTTAAAATAAAATAAAGAAACTATCCAGCAATGAAGCAGTTGAATAGAAAACCAAGGAAAACATGTGAAACTTGCATACAAAAAACTGTATACAAAAAAAACAAAATAATACAAATATGCCATCAATTCTCTATAAAGATGGAAACAATTTTCGTGGAGAACTTCGAAACTCAAAACATTTTTTATTAAAATATGTATTATTCCCATTAAATCAAGAAGACAACATAGAAATACCGCGAGAATATAGTTTTAGAACACTACTAAAGCATATATGCATAAAAAGAATATTAATGACAAAAAACAAAAAAAAAATAATATTGCTTTTAAATTACCTTCTTCAGAAATACACGTCAGCTCAGGCTTCTCATTGGATAGAATTATATTATCCAACAATCCACCGCCCTGATTTCCTCCCAAATCCGCTCCCAGTACTAAAGCAGCTGCCGCGGCACCCATGGTGACTGCTCCGTCATTATTGTCTGGTTCTTGGGTGAACGATAGCTTTCGTCTTTGCGGACAGGTTTCGGACACACAGAGGTGACGAGTACCGTTTTCTCTGGTATGCTTGTGACGTGCTATTTTTCTTCTGTGAAGGTCTATGAGGAACAAGGTTAAGCTACCTACTAGTACGCATGTAGAGCTGAAGTAGTAGCCCGCTCGGTCCCCACATTTTTCGTTCATATAACCTAAAATATAAATTATAATTATTTTTTTTCATGTATATTGCAGTTTCTGTACTAAATTTGAGTTCTCAAGTTCATTTTCTTGGCAGAGAGCAAATAAATTTTGTCATTTAACGAATTTGTTTTCATTTTTCTAATAAAATGTTCAGCAATACTTCAAATGTCCACATATATTTTTTACTAACCTCCGTTTTGTAAGTTTGGTAAGTTTAGAAGAAAAGTCGGTTAAACTCTAGAGAACGTTCCGATGAAGTTAGCTACAAAGAAACTTCAGTAAAACACAAATTTTCGTTTGCGGTAGTGCCGCGTCCTTATTATGTATATGTTTATGCCTCAAATATGCTTTGAAACACTAAATTTTTATTATATTATTTTACAGAATCCGGTATTTTTTAATTTTATTTTTTAATTTATTTAAAACACGAACGAATGAATATTTGTTTCTTTCGATATTAGTTGCAGATAGTTATTAGAAAAAAATTGTGTAATTGCCCTTTGGTAGATTAGCAAACAAATTTGGCAATAGTGTCAAAACCTTCAAAACACTAGTTGCCAGATTGCAAGATAATAAAGTAAAAATATATATTAAAATCACTACAGCAGAATTTAACTTGTTACTTACTTTCTAACTTTACTATTTATAGTGATTTATACATTCTTTTTCTCGTTACTTTTCCATTTATATGTATATATATTCAGGGATTCTACAGTATTCACTGCCTTCCCTCGCTCAACCGTTTCCATCTCTCTCTGTTGTCCCATTCTCCATCGTTTAGGCATCTCTTACTCATGGCGTCGTCTACTTCGTTCCTCCAGGATCTTCGGGGTCGTCCTCTTTTCGTCCTTCCTATAGGGCTCCATTCGGTTATTCTCTTTATCCATTCGCTGCTGCTAGTTCTTCTTACATGTCCATACTACTTTAGTCTTTTTTGTTCTATATATGTTAGTATGTCTGTTTTTATTGATGTTCTTTGCTTTATTTTGTCATTACTTTTCCTATCCATTCTTGTTACTCTGCAGCATCTTCGCAGGCATTCCCTCTCTGTTGCTATTATCTTACTGCTGTTTTTCTTGTTTATAATTAAATTTTCAGCCCCATATGTCATAATACTTCGCACTATGTTTTATTAATATGTGTTTTTGTCTTCATATTTAGGTGTCTATCCCACCATACTGAGTTAAGTTGTCGGATTGATATTCTTGTTTATTCTAATCTTTGTGTTATTTCTTCCTCTGTTGTTGCCTTTTTACTTGATCGTCTGCAAAGCTTAACACGTTCGCGGACACTATGGCCTAACAAAGGGTTTGTAGAAACGCACCTCTGTTAAGAACGTCATTTTATCGAAAATAAAATTAAAAATAGGCAGCATGATTTATTATGAAAAAAACATATATTTTTGACAAAAAAATGGGAAGTGGCAAATACCGTCTTGTCCCTAGCAAAGTCTATTTTCGTGAGCTGGATACAAGACGGCGTTTCTCGTTACACGAAAAATGGAGAGGGAGGGGACGAATTGATTAAAAACAACAATTTTATTGTCTATGGTAATCTTCGAAGCAAGGTTCGGCACTAAGAGCTGGCCTGCTGGGGCCCAGACATATACCAGACATAAACTTGTAATTAGCTACTTCCTCAGGTTTTACCTTTTCAACGCCATACCTGTTTTTAGCGGTAATCAATTTGGGATGATATTTCGTGGTAATGCAAATAACATCCCGTTTATCCCTCCATTTTGAAACGTATACTTGACCACATCGGCTCCAACGGTGTTCACCTTTCTTAAACTTGGCTTTTACGATTGTGTTTTTTTTCGACAATGAAGAATCTTAGAAAGAGAAGAGGCTATTATAAAAGTTGTCCATGAAAATATGATGTCCACGATCTAGGTATGACTCCGTCAGAGAGAGAACTAGTTGCTCAAGTTTTGGTACAACCAGTCGCTTCCGTTGTTTTTCCGGAATATATTTTCAAATTTAGCACGTAACCATCGCTGGTACAAACAGAGTAGAACTTTATTCCGTACTTGGCGCTTTTACTTGTAATATACTGCCGAAAGCTCAACCGACCGCGAAATAGCACTAGTGACTCGTCTAAGGACAAATTTTCTGGAGGAACCACGCACTTCTAAAGTTTGATAATAATCTAGTCAAAAGTGGGGTAACCTTTCGTAGTTTGTCATCAAGATTTTCGTCAATTTATCCGTAAGAGCAACTAAAAACACCTTAGAAGTTCTTCAAAACGTCTTCAGACAAATGACGATGAAAAACTGGGCTGTAAGATAATGGATCCATCGGAGAACGTTTTCCTTATTGAAGGACATTTGGAGTGACTTTGTAAGATACACAGAGCTAGGAATACCTAGAGTTCAGGTTTAATTACTGGTTTAATAGTTTTATATCTATAATTTCGTCTGTGTGGCCTTTTGGTAGTCATTCAAAATGTCAGCATAGGCATTCATAGAAGTAACAATCGTCTTCATAACGTCATCATCCCAAAACTTTTCAAAACTTTCGGCTACAGTCGGTGTAGTTTCAAACACATATTGGATACCACTACCAGCATTATCAAACTGAAAATCAGAAATATCTGTTGTGGTATCACACCAGATATCCTCTGTTGGTTGCAAATCGAGGTCAGTAACAATGTCATCCTCGTCACTACTATCGTCTCTAATAGGGTGGTGGTCACTGGAGCCACTAATATCATCATCATCATTCACGATCTGAGATATTATCATCACTACTGAATGCCTCAGGCTCTGAGTAAGCGACATCAGATTCAGATGATCCTATACTGACTTCTTCCATGAGTTGCCAAAGCCTTTTTTCTTCTGTCTTATCCATTTTGCCCAATCGCAATGCCGATAAATTGAATTAAATTTTTATATTACTCCACCCTGTAAATAAAAAAAGTCTATGTTTTAAACATGCAGTATTTACAAAAATTAGAATTCTTAAAAAAATAATAACTTTGATTTTAGAGTTTTATGTAATATATTACTATATTTGTTTGATGTTTCTATTTTTCATTGAAGGTTATGTTATGTGTTAATAAACAGAATAACTGGATATTTGTTGACATAACCTCTAAGTATTTTTTTACCTTTTTGTTCAGTTTTTACATTATAAAATCCAAATATATAAAATTAAGGCACTTATTGACACTTACCAATCACATAAAACTGCTTTGCACTAATTTAAAGGGGAGTGTATAACTTTAACAGTATAAAAATTTAGGAAGATATTATTCACGTTCATTCACCAAAACACAAGCAAAGTCAACTGCATGGCGAAACGTATGCAGGGACATTTTACGAAATATTTTTATGTGTGCTGGGTCATCAGTCGTGTTCGTATGGGGAAACCAATATACGCACGACGAAAAATGCCGCTTTGAGTATTATACCGAGCTGTTTGTTTGGACGGCATATCGCGTCTTGTCTTGTGTGCATGACGGGATATGCCGTCTTGTCCGCGAACGTGTTAACGTATATAGGTACTCGTTCCGTACCGGTACTCCCATGCCTTCGCATTTTCTTTTCCATGTAGTCAAGGCTTTCTCTAAGTATATTTTGAATGGGGTTGGAGATGTGGAAGAACCCTGCAGGAGCCTCCATTTTATGTTTTCCATGTTTAATTAAATTATTTAATATATTGCGATTGTATTGCTATTTCGCGATTTAATAAAACGACATGGCAACACCGAAAAATATAAAAATTTCCTTTATTTGTAGCTAACTTAACGAAACATTCTCTAAACTTTTACCTAACCTAACCTAACCTAACCTGTATTTTAAACTAGGAAGACATTGTATATTTACACTTACCGGAAAAGGGTACCCCAATGACGATGGGTATTGCTTGCGAACATTGTACGAAACCCCAAGTCCTGGCAAAGTTTCGAGCCCTCACTCGTTCGTACGTATACATCTTCAGCGAATAATGATATCCACCACAAAATATACCTAAAACATAATTCAAATTAAATCGTTTGTTAAAGCAGAAATATCTCGGAGCAATCTTACAACTTAAATTCAGTGGAACTATTTTCCAGAATAGTTACAGAATCAGGTTACAATTCATTCCCAAATACATATACATGTACATATATTAAATAAAGATTAGATAACAGTTGCAGGAGTTATTTACACTTAACGAAAATTCCTTAGTAAATGATCGAGAAAAATACTTCGGGCAATTTAATGATAATTCTTAATCTATTTTCCCAAAGCATTTCTGAATTTATTTTCTAGTATCTATATTTAATATGCTGAAGTCGAGCTTATGTAGACTAAAGTGGTTCAGATATAAGTATCGATTTTTCTTCAGAAAGTTCTTTAACTTCGGATGATACTGCTCCTACACCCCATATTTTCCTTTTACTGCTGTTTCACCCTATTATTTTGCAAAGAGTAATTAAGATACCTGAAATACAACAGTATAGGTCTAAGAATCCACTGATACTTTTATAGACTGGAAGTAATGCAACTTTTATATAATAGAAAAATACCTAGATGATTTCGCATGTCGCAAAGGACGTCCATCCACAAGTTTTATACCTGTTAGAGTTACAGGGCATCATTTCCTCTAGTATATTCCGACTACGAAAAAAATAAAATCCAATTTCTTAATGTGGAATATGTAGCAGAGTTCGAGAAGCGCATGAAAAGAAGATTAGAAGAGAGATACAGGAGAAACAGCATAATGATACCAATGTTTAAGAAAGTAGATAAAGAAGACCCCAACAATTATAAAGGTATAAATCTACTGAACACCTTACTTAGACCACAAAACTCCTAACCAACAAAATCAATAAACTAACAACTTTATTAGATGAAGAACGAGGAGGTAGAAGTTAGAAGAAGAAAAAATTAAAATAATGACACCACATAGGAATCGTAAAACAATAATATTGAATATCATGGCCCCCTACGGCATGGTGAGCTGATGCATATGTATGAACAGTAGACTAGTTAAAAATTGTTCTTAATATAAATTACATAACTTAATAGATGGATTATTAAATACATGCACCTAGTAGTAAACCAATAGAAACCTAAAACTTTAAGGTGCATAGAGAGCAGAATATATATATATATATATATATATATATATATATATATATTATATATATATTCGGTTTTATAACGTCTTACGACGTTGTCCGACTCCCAAACGCCACTCTATTCTGTCTTGAGGTAGGTCTTCGTCCAGATTTCGAGCGCTAATCGCTTTCCTAACACCCAGGTTCCAGCTCTGTGGTGGTCTTCCTCGTTTCCTCTTCTCTGGGGGTTGTCACATCATCGTTTTTTAGGCAATCTTTCGTCCCCCATTCGGCTCACATGCCCATACCATATGAGCTGTTTTTTCTCAATATCCTCAACTATAGTACCCTCTATACCCATTTGTTGTTTTATCACTTCATTCCGTATTCTGTCGGCTCTTGATATTCTCATCGATCTTCTGATGGCATCCATTTCCGTGGCTTCGACCTTTTTCTTATATTTCTCGGTTATTCTCCATGTCTCAGCTCCATAAAGAAGGCTAGTTTTAACCATTGTCTCATAGATGTTCCATTTTCTTTTCTTTGATATTTCTTTACTCCATAGAACTCCGTTCAAACATGCTATAGCTCTTCGTGCTTGTACAATTCGATGTTCTATTTTTCGTTCGTCTTTTCCACTACGGTCGAAGATGACGCCCAGGTATTTATATTCGTCACATAGATTTATTTTTTGATTGTCATCGATATCGAGTTGTTCTGCTTCAGCTCCAATTGAGAGGTATTTTGTCTTTTCTAAATTGATATTTAATCCCCATTTCTGGTATTCTTCAATTAGTTTTCTAAGCATGTATTCCATGTCGTCTTTGTCATTTGAGATCACCACCTGATCATCTGCAAACTGTAAAGTATATATGTAATCCTGATCGTTCAATTGTATACCCATTCCTTTGACTTTCCTTTTCCATTGTTTCAGAGCTGCAGAGATATAAATCTTAAATAGAGTCGGAGAGATACAACATCCTTGTCTGAGACCCTTAGTAACTGCAAATTTTTCAACTAAGAGGTTTCCGAATTTTATTTGGGAGTTTTATCTTTGAGAGCACTAACCAATGTTTGATGTATGTTTGATGTGCCCAGGACTTCCCATAGTTTATTTAGCGGGACTGTGTCATATGCCTTCTCAAGATCTACAAAAGTCATATGTAACTCTCTATTTGTCACAATTTTCTTTTCTATAATTTGTTTAAGACAGAAGATGTTATCTGTACATGACCGACCTGCTCTAAATCCTCCTTGTTCTTCGTCTTCAGACGATTGATAATCTTCCTCTATCAGGTCCCGTAGTATTCGACCGTATAGTCGACTCATTGAACTTGTGACCGATATCCCTCTATAGTTTTTACAATTTCTCCTGTCACCTTTTTTATATATTAGGGCCATATATGCTGTTTTCCATTCATCTGGTGTTGGATGTCCATTAATATATTCGTTAAATATCACCGTGATCATTCTGTGTAATTTCTCTGAGTCATTCTTTATTAATTCCGTAGTCCACTTGCTTTCCCATTTTTCCCATTTCCCAGAGAGTAACTATCGTACATATAAACAAATAGCAGTAGATACATTACCTACGTGAATCATTTTTGTTCTTTTATAATTACTAAAAAACTTACCGTAAATCCAAGCAAACATTACGTAAGCGTGATAATTCCCACTGACGACTGTGAAGGCAAGTATTGAGAGCCCACACATAAACACTGCAGTCTGGCAGAGGTACTGCCTGGCAATTCGACATTCAGTTGAATTGTGCAGCACCAACGTGCTGAATACTACACATCCTACAGTCCAAGCCAGTCCCAAGTACACCTGCAAGAAGATCGTCGAGTCTCCGAGACCTTCGACTTCAGCTTGATAGGCCAAATAGAAGAGAGGAGTGTTAATACCTAAATAAAAATAAATTACATTTTTAGTATTCATTTATTATTGAAGCTTTTTTTACTATTTCATATTTTTCTATTTTAAATCTTGATTATCTTTTCTTTTTTATTATATTGCAATAGAGTGAAGCTAATCTGCACAGAGTAGTATCCATCCAATTTTATAGCGTACATTTTATTATTGAATAAGAATTAAAGATGAGGAGAATAACATTACATACATAACATTAAAAAAACTCACCAAAGGCACTGATTCCAGTAGAAATCAGAAGAATACGGACGGTTTTACTTTTCAAGGTGCTGAAGTCGAAGAATGGGACTTTGTCTTCGATCTTATTCTTGTCTTTGATCTTCCTCTTTTGGTTCTTGATATGGAGGATGGCTCTTCGTTGAGGGTGATACAAGGAGGCTGACCGGTAGAAGGTACCCAGAATAAAAGTTACCGAAATTGCGCCTGTTACTACTTGTAGACCTAGTCTCCATCCCAAGGCTCTAAAAGACAACGACCAAATTAAAATTATGTCTTAAAAAACGTTTCCGTTTTGAATTAGATAGAAGCTGTCATTGATCGGACTCCAAAAAAATAAAGAAAAACCAATAATTTACAACCTAAAGAATTATATATTATGTACAAAAATTAAAGGTTCAAATGATTCAAATTAAAAATCAAAAAATATAAAATCTTCTTATTCAAGTTCCGCTCCTATCGGAGATTGCAAATCATTCTAGCAATTATAATTTTGTTGATTACGCGCCTGAATAGTTCAATTAAACTAACTGAAAAACTGCATCCAAACCATTCACAGAGATTGCGTAGCCTTGAGATTTCACGTCTTCCTACGCTTCTTCTGCCTTTCATTTTATCCTGCAGTATATTCCTTAATAGTTCGTATATGTCACCTTTCATGATGTGACCCAAGTATTCCAACTTCCTGTTTTTTATGGAATTTAAAACTTTCAAAATTCAGGGAAAAAAAGGAAGAAGAAGTTATACGTTTGATGGAATTTTAAAAGTGAAGAAGAGTCAATTTGTTCCTATTCGTAAAAAGAGAAACATCGGAAGCTAAAAAGAAATTGAATGCCAGTAAATCAGAACGGTAAAAGAAAATTAAGTTGTGTGAATAAAAAAGTAATTTTGTTTTCGAAAGTCTGAAAAAGTGGTAGTATTGGCGATTTCATGTATGCTGAATGGTAGCAGTGCAGAAGTTGATGGTAACATAATTTGTAAGTACCAATAAATTATCATTGCATCGGGAGAAGATTAGGCTAGGAGAATTGAGTATCCAGAAGGAGATAGAAATTTGGTTAGGACGTGAGATCAAGATTCGTTTGGGGAGCTGATCCAGGGGAAGAGTTAGTTAAAGTTGACAAGAGAGTATCCAGGTAAAAATAAAAAAGTTAAGCAGTTTAATTAAAAATTTAAAAACAATAGTACAGAGATATAAAGTTTTGAAACTGAATAGTAACTAATTAAATTTATAAATTTGTATTAGTTTTGTAAAGTAGTATAGGTCATTTAGTAAAGTGAATCAATATTGGCTGCATAGCTTTCAATTGCTAGGATAGCGACGGAGCGATATTTATATTTGGTATGTTTTATATGTGTAAAGATAGTACAAACACTCCTGACCACGGCGCAGTAGACGAAATTTGGTTTACAATAGAACCTTTCTGCCTTTACGTGAATTTTGACTCAGCCTTATAGTTATCTGGTACGTGAATGTTTTTATTTTTAGAAATAAGGTCATTGGAATCTTTAATATAATAAGGATTTTTATTTGTGACATTAGAGATAATGTTTTTAAAGAACTTTGAAAGATTTTCGAAGGGTCATTGAATGCAAGAAACGAGAGGACGTAGAGGTTTATTCTCCTTGTGTGTTTTAGGTAAACCATAAATTTTTGGTGGAATAGCGTTGTGTAGCTTAAGTGATTTTGCTGTATTTGGTGATATATAACCATTTTTGTCACATCTGTCAATAAGAGCATTATTTCTTTTTTGGAATATATTGGTAGGATCATTTCTAAGTTTATGATATATGGTTTCGTCTTTCGTCTTTTAACTGGTTCTGGAAGACTTAGAAAAATCTGTCATGAGTCATTTATATTTTAATGTACCATTCTTCTACCGCTATATCGATGACTGTATCTGTGGTATTCCAACAAATAAAATAACCGAAATTTTAGATATTTTCAACATTCACCATCCAAAACTAAAATGTACTATAGACATTGAACAAAATAAATTTTCTGGATATCACCTTAAATAACATTAACAATACAGTTAAAACCATGTGGTTTACAAAAGTAACATGGTCTTCACAATATCTTAAGTTTTGTTGATAAATCTATACAACTAACAGATCCAGAATAAAGAACAAACTGCAAAAAAAGCAAAAATGCCCATCTAAAGAATGCATATCCCGAACATATAATCCAAACTATTTTCAAATGAAGACTTAATAAATTTTACAATAATACAAATAACAATAAACCCAACAGTATCAAAACTAATTATACAACTCTTCCATATATAAAAGGTTTATCCGAACAATTAACAAATCTTTTAGCCAAACATAACAGAACAGTGTCCCACAAAGGCAACAACCTTTTAAATAAATAATTCACTAAACTAAAAACACAAACTCCAAAACTTAAAAAATCACATGTTGTTTACGAGATACCATGTATTAACTGTGAAGGTGTCTATATCGGGCAAACCAGTCAACTGCTTCATTCCAGAATTCGTTTTCACAAATATGACAAGAACAACGTCACTGCGCTCACAGAACATGAAAGTGAAAAGAAGCATGAATTTGACTTTTTAAAATTTTAAAAACCGAACAAAACAAAAAGAAGAGGGAGATATACGAATCAATAGAAATAAAAAGAAATACCAACGCAATAAATGACAAAAAAAAAACACACACAAAACCTAAATAAAATATATTTCAATCTGAGTTAAATAAGAATAAATATAACTCCATAAAAAGCTCTTAAAGTCATAACATATCTCCATTACCTTTTTCGAAAACATCAATGATACGCCCATATAAAAATAATTATACACTAATGACAGTAAGTCAGGGGTGGCCAACCTTTTTAAGTCGAGTGCCAATATGAGAACAAAAAAAATTTGGCGTGCCACTAAAATTTTTCGACATACTAATATGGATACTATATATTAATATATACGGTACAATATGTATTTCTTATGTAAATTCCACATTTTTCCGTTTAGTCAAGATAGTGGAGGTTTAAAAAATAACGTAATAAGTAAAACATAACAACAAACTTACTTTATTGTTAATAAAAATAAAATAAAAACGTTAAACAAAAAAACTTAAATATTTTCTTATTATCTAAAATTCAAATTATTAAACAGTTACTTATTTAATGTGGTATTTGAACTTGTATTTTTTTAATTAATTCATCTATATTGGGATTAATTTCGGAACTAGCCAACAGAATTAGATTTTTTAAATGCATGTCAGTTAATCGTGACCGATATTTTGATTTTATTATGTTCATAATAGAGAACATTTGCTCACAAACGTACGTTGAACCAAATCTACAACAATATCTCAGAGCTAACTCGTGTAAATTAGGAAAATTGTTTGCTGGTACAAATTTCCAAAATTCAATATAATTGGATCAGTAACAGTTGAAATAATTTCCCTATATTTGGTTTTTAGTATAGTGTGGTTCTGTAAATCAATAATTTCGATCTGTATTTCAGCTGAGTAACAATTGATATCTTGCAGAGAAATAGAAAAAGGATTTATGAAAAGGTCAACATTCATTTTGTCTTTTGAAAATCTTCAAACCGGGTATTGAATGAACCTAGCAAAATAGATATAAGGTTTTTAAATCTGTCATAATTTGGAGTTCTACTGACCTTGTTGGCTAATTCCTGCATTAATGTGAAATGTGTCAATCTCTGTTCTCCAAAATCGTTACAAAAAAGCATAAGTTTATTCACAAAAGAAGATATATGACCAACTAGAGTAGGAAAAATACAATTTTTTCACTGTAATCTTAAATTTAATAGATTTAAATGTCTCATAATATCAGTGAGAAAAGCTAAATCCCAAAGCCAATCTTTATCATTAAGTAACGAGCACTCACTGGGTAGTTCATTGTTTTCTTGCAAATATTTTAAGACGCACTCCTTCAAGTTCCAAAACCTTTCGAGTGCATTTCCTTTGGAGAGCCAGCGCACACTGCAATGGAGAAGTAACTCTCATCTTGCTCCGTTTCTTCCGCGAACAGTTCTCGAAATTGTCAGTCGATTCAATGCCCGAGCTCGTATTTTGTTAATGCAGCGTGTTACAGGGTCAACAACAGATGACATGTTTAGGTCCTTGGCACAAAGAGCTTCCTGGTGAATAATACAATGGTACTTAAAAACTTTTCTTCCCAAATAGTTTTCCAGTAATGTAACAAACCCCTTTAGTCTACCAACCATGCAAGGAGCTCCATCTGTACAAACACAATCTAATTTTGACCATTCAACTTTGTTGACTTCGATTACGTTTTAAGCTGTTGAAAAATGTCCTCTCCTGTTGTTGTGACTAGTTGGCGCAATTCCAGAAGCTCTTCGGCATTTTCAAAATTATCATTGGTTATAACGGATAAAAATGCTTAACTGCGCATTTTCTGTGTTGTCACAACTTTCATCCAACGCTAAAGAAAAGAATTTGCAGGATTGTAATCCACTTATAATTTGGGAAACAACATCCTGGCCCATATCATCTATACGGCGCATGACTGGATTTCGGGATAATGCAATATTATCGACCATATTTTTGATCTTTACATCTCTCACATTTTTAGCAAATATTGCCAGACTATTTTTAATTATCTCCTCTCCATCAGAGTAGGCTTTTTTCTTCCGGGCTAACAGCAGAGAAAGTTCATATGATGTTTTAACCATAGTTTCCATTTCATCACTTCTCTTCTGAAACAGTGACTGTTGGCTGGCTAGGGTTTTCTTTTTTTTTTCAATAAAGTCGGCTCGCAAATGTGAACCAATAGGATATTTGTTGCTGAAGTCCTTATGCAGTTGTTTATAATGTCGTTCCAGGTTAATTTTTTTCGGAACTGCTACAGACAATCCACATATCAAACAAACAGGCTTTGAAGTATTACGATTAGTAAATAAAAATTGTTCTTCCCAAGCAGGTTGAAAATCGCGAATTGCAATATCATCTTCGTATTTTCGTTTTGAAGTCGAAGGCTTACTCGTGGACATATCGAACAAATACTTTTAAAATTTTAAAGAAACAATGCGCGATGACAAAATGTGCACATACAACGGGGCAGTTTAAAATAAACTAAGCAAGGGTAACGCCAGTCCTATTGCACATTACGACAGCTAGGATCACGTGCACCAATCGCAGCAATATCGCTCGCCAGAGGATGCAATGATGCCGCATCTATCGTAACTTCCGTAAACCTACCAAGTTTCTTTATTATTTTTTGTTTTTCAAG